GGGGAGAGAACATCCTCCATGGAAGGGGAGAGAACATCCTCCATGGACACTCACACCCGAGTGTCCCGTAGGATGAGGTTGGACACTCTTGGCTTTGGTGACAGTGGGGTGTCACCACACAGAGCTCTCCTCCTTCATCCTTCCCAGGCAGACTGAGCCCCGTTGCTGGTCCAGATGGATAGTGTGGATAGTTGCTGCTCCAGCCAGGCTGATGGACTGGGATGTGTCTGCGGGCAGACACTGGCACTGAGCAGTGGCCTGAAGTCCTCGTGTGAAGAGGGGCGGTGGCTCCCCAGGAGGACAAGGGCCTCTTGCTCTGGGTGAGCACTGGGGAGCTGCCATATGCCACCCACCATTGGCCGGTGTCCTCGTTCAAGGGTGGGGGAAGCGCCTTTTCTCCAATCAGGGGCTGGGAGCGGTGTCATGTGAGCATCTTTTGGTGTTCCTGGGTGACCAATCCTGGTCTCTGCGGCGCTGCCATAGGCTGATTTGGATGGTGTCACTTGCTTGGCTGTAACAAAGGCACGGGCAGGAGTGGGGGGATGCAAACTGGGATGAGGATGAAACTCGGCCAGGAATTTGGCAAACCACGTGTGGTGGGCCCGGACCCAGGGGCAGGATGTGCCCGTGCTGGTCTGTGATGGAGAGGGTGGGTTTAAAGCCCACCAGGCCGACCTGGCTCTCTGGAGCCCGTGCACCTCATTTCCAGCTGCAAAAACTCCCCTTAAAATGGCTGTGACTCTCCCCCGCTCAGGGACACTGTGGTGACACCGTGGGGCTAAAGCATCTCCTGGTCACCACCCATCCCTTTGTGCTCCCAGCCTGGCAGGGTGAATGGGAACCAGTTTTACCCCACTCGCTGCCCCTTGACCATTTGGTGGGTCCTTGGGGGTCCCGGTGCCACGAGCTTTGCCCGTGGGGTCCGTGGGTGCTGTCGGAGCGTGTTGCTCTTCGTCTCGGTGGAGATTCCTTCTTAATTTGGATTTTTGTTGTGGGGGGTGGCCATTCCCAGTGGCAAGACTGGCTGCACGGCTGCGAGCTTGGCTCTCTTGAAGGCTTTTAGGATAGTCTTGCAAAGAGCCGATTTTTATTATTTTTTTCCGCTTTTCTCTCTGATTTGCTTCTGGAGTGCTCTAGCAGTAAGCCCGGTGTATTGGCATGACATTGATCCAAATTGCAGTTTACATGTGGCCATTTAAGCTTGCCTGGACACTATGATTTGACTGGTTAACACTCAGCACTGTCTACTCTGTTCTCCCTTCTGGCCATATAACTGCTGGAGACATTAATAGGAGACACATTCGCATGTTCAGGAGCAAGGGATCAGCTCTTCACAACCCTTCTCTTGCTTAGCAGCAGCTTGGAGCAGGAAAAAAAAAAAAGGAGCAAATGCAATACTAATTTTTTCCATGATTCGGTGAGTCGTTGTGGAGAACAAGCCTATACAAATATAATTATTGAAAATTATTAATTTCATTCAATAAATCCCCTTTAGCTCCTGTCTTTAATACTTATGCCAAGGATACAGAAATGCAGCAGGGCATTTTGTTGCTGAGTCCAAAGCCCTTTCACACCACTCTCATCATATGAACGATGCGCTGTGAGTCAGGGGACTGGCAAAAGTGGCAAAAGTGCAGAAATACTTGTGGTTGGTGCTGCCAGTGGATATGAACTTTTACTTTGTGATGGATAAAATATTTATATTTTTTAATATTTAAAATTAGAAAATTCTCACCCCCAAATGATGAAGAATAGTTAAAAAATATTTTTAAAAAGTCGTGGTTTTTTGGTGTTGGAGGAAAAAAGACATTTCCCCACTGAAGGAATTTTCTGCTGGTCTTTTCCAGTTTTCAGCTGAAAACAATAGGAGACCCTGATGGCCCAAGCCTTCTAGGTCTCCCTGGAGCGTGGTGTCCCTTTCTCTCCCCAGCTTCTCCCTCCCGGCACAGTCCCATGTGCCGTGGGTTGGGCAGGTGTGGAATGGCACTGCAGTGCCACCACAAAGAAATCACGCTGATACAACAGGGATATGTGTGTATCTATACGGTTTTGAAATACACAGATATAATTCCTTCCTCCAAGCAGTTGCATCCAGATTTGGTGGGAGAGGGGATGGTTTTTAAAGGTGTTCTCATGGCAGGGCTGGCAGCCAGCAGTGACTCGCTCCCAGCACTGCTCCTCAAAGCTCTGCTGGTTTTGGGGTGTCAAGGTTGTGTAGTGTGTGGTCCAGCTGCTCGGGACGGGTTTGGGGGGATCTCTGTGCCAAAGTAAAGCACGAGGCTTCCTGCCATCGGTACCTATGGGGGTCAAAAATGCTGATTGAAGCCTCCAGCCGCTGGACTGGGGCTGAGAGGGGAGCACGTCTTTGTGCCGAGAACAGAGTCTTTCCTCTTCAAACAATCAGGGCTTCAAACCCCTGAGCGTTTTCAAGGGAACGATTTTTATGTCGGGATTATGATAAACCGGCTGAGTGGGCGCGCTAAGCCGCCATAGGAATCAGATCAGGCCCTGCTTTAATTTCAGCAAGTGGCGGGTGTGTGGGAACGGAGGCTGGGGCGATGCTCGGAATTAACCGTCTGGGCTCTGGGCCCCGGCGTCCCCCGTTTGGGAGCGCAGACCCGAGGAGGGGTGCGGGCAGGGTCATCTTGGCCCTGTCCCCACCGTGGCCACCGATCCACAGCACTTTGCAAGGTGCTTTGCACCACCCCGTGACGGTTTTAGAGTAGCCGCACCGGTCTCTGTAAGGCAGGAGCAGGAGGGAGAGGGGATTTAACATCCCAGGCTGCAAACGTGGCGCTGAGCGTCCAAAAACGAGACCGGGTGGCTCTCACTGCGCCCCGCCAGGGGGGAAGCGGGTGGCAGTGCCCCGAGGAGGGTACGGCTGGAAGGAAAATGATGAGCTCTGTGGTCTTCGGGCTGCTGGGAGGAGACGGGCGCCAGCGGGCAGGTCGCTCAGATGCAGCCGGGGTGATTGGATGTGAAAGCGGAGCCGCGGTTCTCGCCGCCCGCGCCGGCAGCTTCGCCT